GTTGGCTTTTTTCATGTGGCTTAATTTGAATTCTCTATAGGATCCTAGTTAATAAGCTTTTGTCTGATCCAAAATATGCAAATGTCCTTTCCCATTGTGTAAGTTGTTTATTTGCTTTAGTTGTTGTCTCCTTAGCTCAGGGGTCCTCAAACATTTTAAACAGGGGGCCAGTTCACTGTCCCTCAGATCGTTGGAGGGCTGGACTGTGGGCCCCGGGATGAGTCAGTTGCTAAGCAGGACAGGCAGCAGTAGCAAAAACACCAGGCGGGCGGCATGTGGCCTGCAGGCAGTAGTTTCAGGACACCTGCCTTAGCTGAACAGAAGGTTTCAGTTTCATTAAGTCCCATTTGTTTATTTTTGTTGTTGTGATTGCCATTGAGGTCTTCCTCATAAAGTCTTTCCCCTGGTCAATAGCTTCCACTGTTTTCCTCATACTTTCTTTGAGGATTTTTATCATTTCATGCCTTAGATTAAGGTCTTTTATCCATCTTGAATCAATTTTTGTGAGTGGAGAAAGGTGCAGGTCCAGTTTCAGTCTTCTACGTGTGGATATCCAGTTCTCCCAGCACCATTTACTGAATAGGGATTCTTTCCCCCAATGTATGTTCTTGTTTGGTTTATCAAAGATTAGATGGCTATAAGATGTTAGTTTCATTTCCTGGTTTTCTGTTCAATTCCAATTGTCTATGTCTCTATTTTTGTGCCAGTACTATGCTGTTTTGACCACTATGCTAAAGTCTGGTATGCTAATGCCCCAGATTTGTTTTTGTTATGGAGAATTGCCTTAGCTATATGGGGTTTTTTCTGGTTCCATACAAAATGAAGAAATGTGTGTTCCAAGTCTTGAAAGTACGATGCCGGTATTTTAATAGGGTAGATTGAAAAATGAATAAATATTGAATGGTAGATTGCTTTGGGAATCTAACAATGTTGATTCTTCCCAGACATGAGCATGTTATGTTCCTCCATTTGTTAATATCCTCTGCTATTTCCTATTAGGAACCCCTATTAGGGTTTCATAATTTTCTATATAGAGGTCCTTCACCTCTTTTGTTAGGTATATTCCTAGGTATTTCATTTTCCTTGAAGCTATGGTGAAAGGAGTTGTGTCCTTAATTAGCCTCTTATCTTGGCTTTTATTGGTGTATTCAAAGGCTACTGACTTGTGGACATTGATATTATATCCTGAGACATCACTGTATTTTTTGATGACTTCCAGGAATCTTGTAGTTGAGTCTTTGGGGTTCTCTAAGTATAAGATCATATTGTCAGCAAAGGGGGAGAGTTTGACCTCCTCTGCTCCCATTTGGATGCCCTTTATTTCTTTGTTTTCCCTAACTGTATTGGCTAGAACTTCCAGCACTATGTTGACTAGTAATGGTGACAGAGGACAACTTTGTCTGGCTCCAGTTCGGAGAGGCAAAGCTTTCAGTTTTACTCCATTCAGTAAAATATTAGCTGTGGG